GCTTACAGAGGAATTTGTGAACAAACTCACGGGTCAGCATTTCCGTCCAGCAGCTTCCATTAACCTACAGCTCCAGCGCTTGTTGTTATATTACAACAGACAGCTCGGCAATCCTCTGTCCACAGCAGTTGTATTTACTATATATAGACGGCATACCAAATGGCAGTGGGAGCACTGCAAGGTTCGAAATGTCAACGGATATTAGGGAAGACAAAACAACTCACTGTATGAAGTGTAAAACACTGTCTGACTGCCCAGGTATGTGTGTGTGTGTGTGTGTGTAAGTAGGACACAAAACACATTGTCTGATCGCTTCAAAAAAGAAAAAGATTGTTGCACTTCCAACTCCCAAATGTATATTCTGATTTGTCAGCTGAGTGGAATTCGCCATTACATATAATGGAGCAATTTACATCATACGGACTGATAATGACTTTGGCACTCACACGCGTAGTGTCCTAACCGGTCCAAAAGCTGTGAAGCGTCGCAGTAGAACAAGGTATCAGCGTGTCGCATTTAGACGTGTTGAATTGAAAAGAAATGGCATTGCGCAACCACGGCCCCCTCCAGCTGCATACAGATGTGCTAAATCCATGATCTTACCTGTCTCCGGGGTGGAGAGCATGTGGTAGGGAGAGATTGGCTCAATTACGGACTAACAAGAGACACAGAACCACCGCAGATGGGCTTGTTGACACCGGCTCTAGTGCACAGGACACGCCTTGCGCGGGCGGTGTTTCGATTGTATCTATCTCACGAAGGACACTTATGGATTGTGGCCAATTTACCCGGTTAAGGTTTACCCTACACTAGTACACACAACACAACCATCATCAACTTTAAGAGATAGTGTTTTTATTAAATGGTCTGTTTAATAACGGATCGGATGTATTGCACAAGTAAAACATTTGCCGCCACTTAGATTATATTCCTTTGCAAATCCATCCATTATATATATATATATTTCACATTTGGTGGACGCATTTATCCAGAGCGTCTTACAATACCGTGAGTGCATACATATGAGGATATAAGAGGATGTTAAAGAAAAACGACCTTGAAATGTTTACACAAAACTTGGGCAAACGCCGTAATAAATACAAATGAAATATGAAGATGATATGAGGTGAGGGAGAGAGGGAGGTTAGAACGAGAGAGGGAGAACGAAAGAGATAAATGAAAGAGGCTTCGAAGCCTGCTGGAGAAATCCTTTTGTTTAAATACTTGATCCCTATCCAAACAGCAACTCCATTTCAGCGCGTGCTATAATCCCTGCATCCACTCAGCTAAAGCTAATTCATAGCACGTGTGGTGTGGAGGACTCATACTCTCTCAACATCTCTCTCTCTCTCTCGCGCTCTCTCTCTTTGTCTTTCTTTCTTTCTATCTCTCTCTTTTTTCTCTCGGTATATCTCTTTTCTCTCGATTTCTCTCTCTTTTCTTTTGTAATTTTTTTTCTGGAGCATGGTTTTTGAAGGAAAATCCCTTTTGTACCTTAACATCAACATATATTGTAACTGAAAATCTTTTAAAAGGTATACCGCATTCTATCTTATCATTATCTGACTCAGTATGACTCGTCGTTACCCACTTGCTTAGCATAGTGCTGGCGAGGAGAGCGATAGGCACCTGCTGGCAGGACATGAAATACATCTCCATGTATTTTATGTCTGGCCAGCCAACATCGATTGCCCCCCAAGCTGGTGTCTGTTTGCCTCCTTGCCAAGGAGGGATCCATCTTGTGTACCTGCATGTGTGCTACCTCAAGGTTTTCTTTGACATTTTCTGTAGAGATTCATATTCATTTACTTTATTAATCCTGGAGGAAATAGTTTTAATCACAATTGCTCTGCTCAGGAAACAACTGTGTGAAGTACAACAAGGCATATATAAACAACAACAACACAATAAAATATATATGAAACTGTAAAGTGACTCAAGGTTATGTAATGCACACCGATGTTGAATATTGAAAAATGTGATGGTGTTGCACGTTTAAATGAAATTATAAATGTATTAATACCTATGTGCATGGATGGATACATGAATGTGCAAATTAATGGATGTACTAAATGAAGACTAGAGAGAATAAAGCAAGTCAATGTGTTGCATCCTACAGGGAGTTACTGCATACTGAGTGAAGTGATTAAACAAGCCATTACAGCCTGCAGAGACGCCCGTTGCCCTGGTGATCTGAGGATGGGGGGGGTACGGAATTACTCCTCATGCGGTGTTTGTGTGTGTGTGTGTGTGTGTGTGTGTGTGTGTGTCAAAAGATGTGACATTGTGTGCGTGTGTGTGTGTGTGTCAAAAGATGTGACATTGTTTGTGTGTGTGTTTGTATGTGTCAAAAGATGTGACATTGTTTGTGTGTGTGTGTGTATACATATCTAGAGAGAGAGCGAGAGAGAGGTTGTTTTACTGGTACAAAGAGAGAGATTGTATGTGTAGAGAGAGAGTTTGTTGTAGTGCTATAGATCAGGGTGTGTGTGTGTGTGTTTAAAAGTCTGTAAAATTAGTAAGCAGTCTCATGAGCTTAGTGGTATTTAAGCCTGGCGGTAAGCAGCAGTCTTTACAACTGTCGGTTGTCGGTTGATCTGGCATGTTTAGTGAGACCAAATCAATGCCATTGTGCTGTGTGTGTGTGTTTGTTTGCGCATGCGTGTGGCGGGCTTCTCATGCAAATGTTCTTGATTCCGACACCATGACTAATGTATTTAGTGATGTGGCAGAAATGATCTGCTCCTTAGCTGACTCTGCATCGCCTTCTGAGAGGAACTGAAGCCTTCTGAGAGGAACCGAGAGAAAGATCCAAAGATACTTTATTATAGGAAAGCAAACGTGGAAAGGGAAAAAGACAGAGCTTGGAAAGTTCTGTACACTGAGACACTTTCTTGTTTTCCCAATGTCTTTCTTCGCCCCGTGTTTCTCTCCGCTCCGTGTGCCTCTGCGTCCGTGTTTTCTTCTCTTCCTTCCTCGTTCTCCTCATGCTTACGTCTGTTTTGGCAGACGCCCTGATGGCCGCGTGGGCCATCTGTTTCCATTCATTAGGACAGGATCCACCTCTCTGCTCCTCTGACACCTCTTCACGATGCGCTGCACAATATAATTAAGCCATCGGCGTCTCTTCCATCTCTTCCGCCGTCCAAGCAGAGTTGAGTAGCTGCCGATGAAACCACAGTGTTGGTGTTAAACCACAGTGTAGTTTAGTGTGTTGCTGTCAACATCATATGATAGCAGCGTGAATTAATGTCCACGCCATACTTGCATGTATTAATGTCCATGTCATGTTCGTGTGATTGGTCGGCACAGACAGTAGAGATGTAGCCTTGGATCTCCAGAAAGCTTCCCAGTTCATAGTCTTGTTAGTTTGGAGTTTAAATGATCTCCTGTGTCTGCGGGGGTCCCTGTGTGTGTGTGTGTGTGTGTGTGTGTGTGCGTGTATATTTTACCTTACAATACAACTGAAAACAACAAGCTTTCATAATAAGTAGATGATGATGATGCAAATAATGAGAAAAAGAGCAATGTAATGATTATGTAATGTAATGATGTAATGACATGTAATCAATATACAATATAATCGTGTTTTGTTGTAAACAAAACACGATTACATGTATATTGATTACATGTTGTAATCAATATCATGATCGCAATGGAGTGAGTGAGAGAGAGAGAGCGAGAGAGAGAGAGAGAGGGGCACGGATTGAACGGTTGGTGGCGACCGTCTGATGTGACGAGCCAGACTGAACAGGAGGGCTCCTGGGGCAGAAGGGCAGCTTGTGGCCAGGAGGGGGGGAGTTCATTTGTTCATCAGTGGGTTGTCAGGCGCCGTGGGCTCACACACAGCCACACACATATGCCTCTTCACGGTACCATGCAGTGCATCTGAATCCATCAACGCTGCTCGCTAATGCGGCTGCTACATGCTGAGCCAGTCTCTCAACCGTCAACAGGGACAGGACCACTTAGACCAGCCCCTGTAAGCAGACTGAAGCCTGCTCTGGGGGGGCTACTGGCCTAAGTCACATGGAAGGCACAACGGAAAAGGTGGGGTTTTTTTTGAGTCCAGTTTCGAGGATCCAGAACTCCCTCAGGTAAAGGTATCACCACAGGTTGGCGGTCATAAAATAGGAAATACAGTTTAACTGCATAGTGTTGACTTTGCCTGAGACTATGTGTATATGTGTGTGTGTGTGTGTGTGTGTGTGTGTGTGTGAGACTGTGAGTGTGTACGTGAGTCTGCAGGTGTGTAAATGTGTGTGTGACTGTGTGAGCCGGCAGTGTGTGTGTGTGTGTGTGTGTGTGTGTGTGTGACTGTGTGAGCCTGTGTGTGTGTGTGTGTGTGTGTGTGTGTGTGTGAGCCTGCAGTGTGTGTGTGTGTGTGTGTGTGTGTGTGTGTGTGTGTGTGTGTGTGAGCCTGCAGTGTGAGCCTGTGTGTGTATGTGTGACTGTGTGAACCTGCAGTGTGAGCCTGTGTGTGTGTGTGTATGTGTGACTGTGAGAGTCTGGGTGTCTATATAGCTGCAGGAGGGCTACCCGTAGGGCTAACCTGACACCTGGTTATCTTCCCTGGCCTTTGGCCCATCTGTCACACTGCCGGGATCAGGAGACATGAGTGGCACAGAGAGTCCCTTAAGTAAACCATTCGGCCCATGCATTATGGATCCACACGGAAGTAAACATGACCTCTGACCTCTTGGACCAATGGGAACTCGGCGGGGGCAATCTTTCAAAGTACATTTTCTTCTGTGTGGGATTTCTTCTTTTTTTTGTCCCAGAACGGAAAGTATTTGAGATATGAGGTGGTTGAGATGTGAAGCACAGCGTCGTCTGTCTGATAGTGGGAGATTAGAATGAAGTAAGTCTTTAGTGTTATACTTCATATTTTCAACTTGTATGTGCCGTGCACTCTGTCAGCAAAGAGTGAAAGCTCCTTCACAGCAGTCCAAACTGCTGCACACAAAATTATTCCACTTCTATGTTGACGCCAACATAGTGCAGTCTAGTGGTTAGGGTGTTTGACTCCCAGCCAAAAGAAATTGGGTTCGATCCCCAATGTCCAAAGTCCACCTGCAACATGCCTTCATCCTACCTGGTGCTTAATCACCTGCTGTCCTTCCACACTCAATAAGCTAGCGTTTTCCACCACTGAAAACTGAGCCTTTTGAAAATGACCTTGCTTGGCTATGTGGATGCGCAACACTTATATTTCTGGAGATAATTAAATATAATGGTCACGTGATCCAGACCTCAGTAGTCAGTGGCAAAATATTTTTTTCAGTGTTGATGGACTGTCTTTCAAAAACGCTAGTGAAAACATTGCTCTGGTATCACCTTGCTTGAGAAACTACAGGTGTAAAACATATTGTTACACAATCATGTACAGGCCTACCACCATGTTTTATTTATAGTCTAATCCCAAATATCTCTGCATGTTGTGATTCAAAGGTAATAATGTATCTATCCATCACACATCTGAGTAAACACTTCCCCATGTGATGTCAGAGGGTAGATTTTGACAAGGCTATTCAATATCACACCAGGTGGTAAAATAGGGGCCCTTTAACCTTGCACTAATCATCTACAAATGCATATTAATGTTTTGTTAATGACAAAATTAGTTCATAATTAACTAAAGGGTTATAAATGAATGTTTTGTTAATGATGAGTTCATCATATATCTATATCATAAATATCTTAGTTGCCTGAGGTACTCCTGGTTTGAGAAGATTATGTTATGCTGACTGAATGTCATCTTTGTGTCCAATTTTTAATGTCATATCAAAAACATTATATTTTCAATTACGTTGATTTTCAATATCCAGTTTTGAAGTACACATGCAGACCACTAACCCAGTTCCTAAAGACTCTTTTTATCCAGTGGCAACTTTCTGACGATGGGACCTAGATCAGAAACACAGGAGAGAACGGGGACCAGTAGGCTAGCTGGGGGTATTTGTCATTGTCATCTACGAGGAAGCCCTATATCCTATGGATAAATCATTGTTAGGCCACACTTCAGCCGACGGATTTCCATTCTCTCAAAGTACTGGTTATTACAGGAAAAATGAAGAGAAAATAACATGATTTGGGTTGCTGACTTTGATTCGTTTGAATTGATCAGTTATACACACAAAAAATGCTAACTGATTTCAATCATTTATTTGGGACATTTTCGTAGAAGGTAAGGTATAAAGGTTGTTTCCTGTTTTATTCTTCACATTCAGCGTTCAGCTTTCTGATCAGATAAGGACTGCTCAGTTAAAAATGATGATGTGCAGTGACATGTTGTTAACATGTTAATGTTAAATTTTTTTTTCTTTAGGTCTATGTAATGGATTCTTTAGTCATGTGAAAATAGATATTTCCATCCAAAATAGACAGTTTTACTATGAATGTTGGCCTTTTTTACCCGGACTGTTCTCTCATCTTTTTCCTAAACTGTGAAGGATAACCTCAGTGTGTCCAGTTATGAAAGTCACAAATGCCCAATTATAAATTGTGTTTGGTACAAAAGCTATTAAAATTTGACAATTTCAACTCGACAAATGCTCAGCAAACCCTTTTTTTAACCCCAAATTATTCCGTTCCTCCCTTTTGTCCATATCTCCTTCGTAGTTGCTCTTCATCACAAAATGACCTTTATGAATAATGAGGTACACCAAAGGTAACCATGACGACCTGTCAACCTCGGAGACAGCCAATGTGAGTCCGGACGGACGAAGGGATGATCGGGTGTGTTCCGTTGCTGAGTCAAGCAGAACTAAGATCCGATTGATTAACACCGACAGTCTGAGCAACACGTTGTACCAGTGCATTAATATTAACGTGTACAAAACACCTCTGTGTGCTTTTAGAGAAGGTTAGTGCAGAGAAGGTGAGAGAGGAGGGAAATGGCGGACGGTTAGAAGGAGAAGAAGAGATAGAAGACGGGGGCGGGGCTAGACGTGTCCTATTTAAAGACTAGCAAAAAAGGGTACTTTTAGCAAGTGCTAATTAGTCTGTTTTTTGGCATTGGAGGATATTTTAGTATATACAAAGTGCATAATTAAGTGAGAAACCTAAATGGCTCACGGGTGTTGGGTATTAATTAACTAATTAACATATCCGCCCCCCTCATTTTCTCCCGCTGTGATGATTTTTAATACTTTCACTTTCACATTTGGCAGGAATGAGAGGTTTCCTCACAGTAGGAATAGGGATATTATGAGCCCCAAACACACCAAGTAAATACATGTAAATACAAACATGCACATGTCCTTCAATTGAATGCAAATCAACCCCAGCAACTGGGCTGGGAAGGGGTTAGTTGGTCTTATTTGTATATGTACAGTATAGACAGTAAATGTAAACATGTTTACATGTAAACTATGCCCAGGCAACACTTTGAATCCAATAAGGCAGAAAAAGCAGGCAGAAGGGTTTTGTTTTTTACACAACTACAACTTAAAAATAATGATATTAAACTAATTATTTTAATCCCTCTTGTTTGATTCAGAATCAGTGTAGCTGTTATTGTGTTGCTGACTCACTAACATTTGCTTTCAGTGACCTTTCAGTGATATGTGATACGAGGGGTCTGCTAGCTAGTGGGTGTGCGATCTTACCCCAGTACTGACACACACACACACAATCACTCACACACACAGTTCTCAGTGATACGACTTCCCCCAGTCCTTCTGTCTTGTTTTCAGGAAAACACGTCATACTACGAAAATGAGATACCCTCCGAAACATGTTGTTTTTAACACTTGGTTATCACGCACACACACACACACACAGATTCAACAAACCACAAACACACACACAAACGTCATTGCTTCACCCTCACTTGTGATCCTACTCACACACATGATCTGTGTGGGGATTTTAGTGGTGCAACCGAGATGGTAGTCACTCATTGGACCATGTTTGTTGAATCTGTACATGTGTATTTATGTGTTCATGTGTTTCTTTGCATTTGTGTGTGCGTGATAACCATGCGTTAAAGAAATGAAAACTAGACAGAAGGACTGGGGGAAAATCGTAGGAGGTTGTTTCAGGATCCAATTGGCCTGTTGAAATGTGGGCTCAGTAACAACAGCGTAGCATTGCTATTTGTCTTAAAGTTAATTGACAAGATGTCAGCACTGCCAAAACAGTTAAGCTGTAAAATAAGTTATATTTAGTAGATTTCTGTTAAAATAACAATAACAATAGCCTACCCTATTTTGGATTAGGTTAATAATATGACACTGGTAAAAGAGCTAACAAGGGGGAAAGTAACATTTTAATTTTAATTCTGTGGTGTCTCTTAAGAGTAGCTGTGTTGTTTTTTTCTAGCCACCATCTTGGCCAGTGAGCTGTGTGTAGATTGTACAGCCAGCAGAGAGTGTGAGAGTGCGTGTGTTCAGTAAGTATGCAGGCGGAAGGTGATAATATGAGTGGGTATGTGTGTATGGGTTTAATTGGCTCATATGAGTTGGTTTCAGCCTCTTTCTACCACACTCGGTGTGTATTCACCGTCTGTGTGAACAACGTCATGTCACAAGTTTGGAAGCAAAGGTCAGAAGTTACCTATGACCCCATAGTTTGCTAGGTTAACAACACACGTGTCGTGACCAAGAGACATGCCATGCTCTAATGTTAAGGCATACACACGCTGCAAACATACACGCGTGCCCACACACACACACACACAGTATTTGCACACAGGCATGTTATTGTGATTGAATGGTTGGTTGTGCGTGCCTATGGAAGGCATATGTTACACTGTCAGGGAGAATCCATTTTCCTGGCTGGTGTGATTTACGCTCTTCGTGTCCCCGGCAGCCACCGTACGGCCGTGTTCATAGAGCGTCCGTAACGACAGCATTCATCACTGCCACCGACGAGCAGCACCTTCCAGAGCACGCAGCCTAACCTAGCTGCCGGCCATGTGAACGGGTGTGTGTGTGTGTGTATATATATATATATATATGCCATTTGGTGGACACTTTAATCCAAAGCGTCTTACAGTGCATACATTTTTAGCATGGGTGGTCCCAGTGGGAATCGAACCCCTAACCCTGGCAATGTTTATGCCATGCTCTACCAGTTGAGCAAGTCAGGACCACGTGTGTGTGTGTGTAAGTTTAAGTGTAAGTGTAAGAAGCCGTATGTGTGTTCGTCCTTCAGTGAGTGTGTCTACACAATTGAGTGTGTCTGTGTCTGTGTATGTTTGTGTGTTTTGTCTGTATATTGTGTGGGTGAGGTAAGTGTAGGTGTGTGTGTGAGTCAGTGTGTATACATGGATCAGTATGTGTGTGTGTGTTTGTGTGCGTGCCTGGATGTGCCTATGTGTATGTGTGTACATGTGTGTGTATGCCTGGATATGTGTGTGTGTGTGTGTGTGTGTATGCATGGATGTGCATATGTGTGTGTATGTGTTTATGCGTGGATGTGAGTGTGTGTACATGTTTGTGGATGTGTATGTGTGTGCCTGGATGTGCGTATGTATGTGTGTGTATGCGTGGATGTGTTTATGTATGTGCAGATGTGTGTGTGTGTGTGTGCGTGTGTGCTTATGCATGTGTGTGCATGTGACCATGTGTCTCTAAAGCAGATTCTGGTTCTTCATGTATGTGGCTGCTTGTCTGGAGGTGATCAGTGCTGTACAGAGAGATCTTCTTCCCTCCACTAGTCAGTGGAGCCTGCCAGACATCAGCAACTATCAGAGCCGCCATCCCACCTGCTGCCCTGCCCAGCCAGAGAGGTAAACATACCGTGCAGTCCCCTGGTGACCAGAAAGTGGCCATACATCATAGGAAACTGACCTAAAAATAGGCAGCGGGGGCAACTCTTGACAGATTTGGGTGCTTGAACAATGCAGGGTTTTTTCCCCGTATTTCCCCCCCCATGAGAAAGGTGGGTATTTAATTACATATTTAAAGAATAGCTCTGGGGTGGTGTTTTTTAAGAGATGATGAGGAAGAGGAAGATGTGACTGTTTGTTCAAGCTCATATCAAAACCAAAACTGGCCTCTTTGGAGGTCATGTAATTTCCATCAGAGCGATGCGGCTCTGAGATATAATCAAATCACTTAAATCGATACAG